TTGACGCGCATTTGATTATGTAAATCATCAACAAATTTGTATATTATGACCGAAATAAATGAAATTTATTGTAAACTTTGGTGCTAATAAAAGTCAAAACTCAAACTTGATCTTAAGGTAAAAATAAAAATAGAATTATTTTGCAAATTTTGAAATGGTGTTGGTTAATGTGTGCAGCGCCACTTTTCTAAGTGGTACTTTTTCGATTTACAATACTCTTTACATATAAATTGTAGATCTTTTTTGAAATGCCTATTAAATGTGTGTAACGCAGATCTATCCATATTTTTGGCTATGCTTACTTAACTAGTGAAATTTTAAGAGGTTCGTTTTTATAATCAATTGATCATCGTAAACATCTATAGTGGGTATATATCAAGATCAAATAATTGGTTAAAATTATAAACTGCAATTATATATTATTAATTATATAATTTATTTTTAAAATAATGAAACCTTCATCTAGTAAAAACTGGTCACTCAAATTTACCAATTCAATTCATTTCAGAATCAATTAATGGATAGCGAGATTAATTGCATAATTTCAAATTGCCTTTAATTCTTAATAAATATCATTTGCGCTTTAATAATAATTATCTTGTGAAAAAAGCTAGTTTCTACTTGCGCACTCCATGAAGGCTATGTCAGTGGCAGGGGAACGAAGTGATCACAGATTAATTAATTAATTAATTGCATTCGAGTTCTTCTAAGCCCACCTTATTTATGTCAAAGAAAAAAATATTTTCCCCTCGAAAGATAGTTTTATTGAAATCTGACATGTGCACAAGCTTAATATTAATATGTTAAGTTACATTCCATTTTTTTTGAATCATATTGTTCTCTTACTGATCTGTAAAAAAGGACACTGGATAATTATAAATGAACTATCATCCCACTATGTTGTGGAACTTTACACAATACTTACCCACATGTTCATCAAAGTCAATGCCATCCAGCAACATAGTAAAATATGTTTCTTTTAATGAAGGAAATCTTTTGACACCAAAATCTTATAAATCTATCGAATAGAACTTAAGATAAGGCCGTGTTACACATAATATATAAAAGTAAAAAGTAACATTTTTTTTAATCCATTTTTTTTAAAAAAAAGATAATAAAAACTAGATGTCCTGACAAAATTTCATGACCATAGCTTTTAAAATGGGCCCAGGATGACAAATTTAGTTGATTTTTGCTGTGGGATGATAGTTCATTTATAATTACCCAGTGTCCTTGTAGAAATATAATATATATAATAAAAATTAATAGTACATGCAATTTTTCATTGGTTGATCTCACTTAAATTTTTTGATACAATAACAACCAATGATAGGATTTTTATCTATGCTAGTTAAGTAATGCTACTTGTATGATTTCCTATCAATAAAAATGATTAAAATTATTCTTTTTATCACCTTCTGATAAATGTTTTTTGTTTAAATCAAGAATCAGGGTCCTAAAGTTCTTTCTAAATTCTTATAACCTTGATCTTGATTGACAAATAATTCAGCATACATCTCTAAAATTTTTTATTCTTTTGAAGTTAAATAATAACTGGCATCATGTAACTCTTTCAATGGTACCTCTGAGTTGTTTTTAAAAAGAATAGTTGTTGTAAGTAATTAGTGAAGAGGCACTGCCATTAAACTTGCTACTTACCTTTTGAAATAGTTTATCATCAATATCTGGTAAATTTGGATTTATTTCTCTCCTCTAAATGCATACATAAGGTTGCTTACCAAAACCTCTTAATGACTGCTGAAACTCTAATAAACAATTAGTGTGTAACCTGCTGAAACTCTGCTAATTGTCAAAATCCCTAAATGTAAAACTCTGCCAAAACTCTAACAAACAATTAGTGTGTTACCTGCTGAAACTCTGCTGATTGATTTCCAGGGGAGTTTTGGCAAACAACCATATGCACACCCTCTCTAAATGCATGTTCATGAGAAATCGTGATATGTTCCCAAGGAGGGTGCACTTAGAGGGGGTTGAGTGTACTATTGATTGCATTATCACCTTCATCATCATCAATAATAATAATATTGTTGTTATTATTGTTCTTGTTATTATTATTATTATTATTATTAGTGGATGATAGTGGTGTTAAGGTGTTA